AGGCCTGTGCTACCATGCCCAGCTGGTATATATATTTTAAATGCCTCTAAAAAACACTTTTAGCAAGGGAATACTGCCTGACCCATGTTTTGTAAACATTTTTAAGAAGTGAAATCATTTGCTTACTCTACAAGTTTAAGGGGAATTAAATTATACATAAATTTAACTGTCTTGTTTTAGTTTTCCACAAGCTGTGAAGATTTTTTGTATTCTAAAACATGAAACTTCCGACAAACGGGAATTTATAGACAACCGTGCATTTAATGTGTTTTAAGCATTAAAGCTTGACTTGTACCAGGTTTTGCCTCTTTCCTCCGTGTCTTGCTTTTCCACCTACTCAGGGATCAGTTCCCAGGGTACTGCAGAGTTCCCATATTGTTTGTTTGTTTAGTTATTTTGAGATAGTCTTGTGTCATCCAGGCTGGCCTTGCATTGTGGTCCTCCAGCTTCAGCTGCACCGGTGGTAGTGTCACAGGCATGAGCCCCACACCTGGCTTCTGTATCATTGCTTCCAGACATGTCGACATCCTACATAATCATGGCATATTTGTTGAGATTAGGTCAGTAAGATTAGTGTGTGGCTATAGTAGTAACTTTTTTTTTTTTTTTTGGTGTGGATCGCACCAGTTTTCCCATTCCTATCCTCTTTGCAGGATTAGTTTGGTTGGTCTCCTTAGTCTGCTGCCATACATGGTAGTTGGTCATGACTTTGGCACTTTGGAGGACTAAAGGTCATTTATTTCTTCAACTGAGATTTATTTGCATGCTCACATGTTATGTGCTGTTTCAGGGAAGAGTATCCCAGAGGCAATACACTCCTGTCATTGCCATTGGGTTATATTCTATAGAATAGTGAAGTTAACCTTGACTAATTCCAAGATGGTATCTGTAAAGTTACTGTTGTATCACATTTTATACTGTATTTACTACAATCTTCTGTAAATGTTGGCTTCCTTAAGTGTAATTTGGTCTTGGCTTCACCTGCATCAGAATTGTGTGCTGCCTAGAATACTGTTTGTGATAGCGTATAGTCCCATTTTCCTGAATAACTGTTACTGGTCTTTAAATCCTTTAATGCTTCATAAAAGACTCAGTATACTTAGTGACATGTTAATGTAATGATTATTTTCACTTGGCTTTAAAAGCATGTTAAGCATTTTAAAAAATATTTAATGTGTCATACTGATCTCCAAAAAAATAGCAGTAAAATCTTGAGTATGTTTGAAGGAGGGAAAAGAAATACTCTAAATTTCTTTCCTTTATGTCGTACTGCCCCAAAATAAACGAGAACAACATGTGGTGAAGTGGCAGGGTCCCCAGGGGCTGAACCAGAGACTGCCACTAGGTGCTGAGGTCTGTGCGGCCTGGCCTCGGGCTTGGTCTGTGCAGGTCAGGAATTGGCCCCTTCTTGCTGCACGTGGCACCAGCCATTTGTTCCAGGGATATAGTGTAGTGGCACAAGTGCCTGCCTGGCGAGTGCGAGGTCCTGAGTTTGAGTCCCGGTACACCCCGCCTCCCCCGATTATCTTTCCACAACTTAAGTTTGTATGGTCATTCAAGTATTGTTTCTGGTTGCTCCCATAGAGGAGTATCTGCCTTGGATAGTATCTCCTCAGTATCTGCCTTGGATAGATACTGTTGTGTTTTTATTGTATAAATTTATGGCCTTAATTTTCTCATTATATATTCTATGGTTTGGTTTTTTTTTGTTTTTTGTTTTTTGTTTTTTTTTTGGTGTTCTTTCCCCAACACAGACACTTGCAGCCAGGTGAGGGTGAGTGTTAGTGTGGGAGGTGAACTGTGTTCATACATATTAAAGCCAGATGTTCTCTTTGGAGAATAAGCCTGTGGCTCACCTCCAGACTTCTACATATATTCCCATTGGCAAAAGTATTTGAGGTGTGCTGGGTTATGCAGTTTGGCCATCATCTTGGACGTTCTGATCATAAGCATTTCCTCTTAAGGAATAGAGGGGAAGAATTAACCGGGGTCCATTTTGTTTAAAATCATAGTATAGTTAGTTAAGGAGCAACTTCATTTTCTTGGGTGGAGTAATTTCCTGGTGTTTTATGCTAAAGGTATAAACTTTGATGTTAGCGATTGTTGGTGACCTTGGCACCTGTTCTGGGCAAGGGTTCCCAAAGTATTTAGGGTTATAATATGTAGAATCCATAGTTCCATTTCTGCGAATGTCCATTCTTGCTACAAAAGACTAAGGAAATACTATTTACTCTGGAGTGAGGTAACTTGTATTAATCTGAAGGTTTTCACTTTTTACACTGGGGTTGTATCTCTGGTAGAGCACATGACTAGCAAGTACAACACCCTGCGTTTAATTCTTAATATTAAAAAAAAACATTTTAAAGAAAAGAGCCATAATTTACATT